TAAGGACAACAATTATAACACTTATATTTAGCATAAGAAAAAGTTGAATTTTCTGAGACACATAACGAAGAAAGAAGGCCTGGTGAATTGTACACTAAAAGGGCATATTGAAGGCAAGAGAAGGAGAGGGAGACTGAGTAACAAACCTAAAAGCCTTCTGCAAATGGATGGCAGAGCAGGGATGGAAGAAATAGCGAAGTAACAAAAAATCTGCTTAAAGTTACAAAAGATGTGGAGAGTCATGATCACTCATGTACTAAAGGGACATGGTGTATAAAAAAGAACTCTAACCAAGTCAAGTAAAATAATTGTCAAATCTCTGATTCTCTAAAGAATTATTATCATATTTTTATCATCGTTATGGTAAAATAGGTCTGAGATTGCAAGGTTTGTAGGGAGGGGGGTTCAAAACAGCCTGATTCTGAGTTATCCTCTAATTAGAATAAAATAAATACAATAAATGTTCAACATGATGCAATTCAATTAATTTTTTTAATAAAAAAAGTAAAAACAACAGAATTCCCAGTATGATGCATTAAAGGAATTATTATTACAAGTAAATTTTAAGCAAAACAATTTAAAATATGACAGAAGTGGATGTATTATTCATTTATTTTATGAGCTGAATGCCTGTAATCCGTGTTCTGAGATCCCGAGCTTATCAAGGTTCATGAAAGAAATGTATTCAAAATTTATATTCAGCCAACACTTGTGGTTGCTTCTATGCTAATGTAATTTTGCTGTGTATAGATATGTATTGGAACAATGAAGTCTTCAGCAGGCGTTTTTTTTTTCTCTCTTGTGCTCTTTTATCTATTCAAGTGATATGATATCCTATCAAAACAATTATTCCAACCTTTTCTCACCAACCTTGCATGAATGCAAACATGCACATGATACAACCACAAGGCTCTGCATATTGATAATTGTGTGTCTTCACAGTAGCAACTTTAATGAAATGCCCCAGAACACTATTCCGAGACTAAATTTGTACAGAATTCAAATAATTGATTTTACATGGTAAGGAGTTTCTCAAGAAATAAATTGAATTTTTCAAGTAGTTTCACAAGTAACTTAGCCTCTGCAATCTTTGCGTGGCACTTTGCCTGCAGTTTTGAGTATTGTTTTCAAAACAGGAACACTGCCTGCCGTTCAAGGAGACAATTCTCTTCAAGAGTTTCTCAAGTGAGTTGAAAAAAGCTGTGAATCTCAATTGGTTTCAAGAATTCAAGATATTGGCAACACCTTTTACCTATTAGTTCCTGTGATGTAAGTGAAAATTTCCAAATAGTTTATTGACTGATATATCATTGTTACTGTTCATAACAGATCTCCACTTCTTAGATAAGACACTTGATATATTGTTCACATAAAACAAAATCAATAATGCAACATTTCTAAGGTTTGATAAGAAATAGATCTTTACTCTTTGGAATGGCAGTAAAAAATTAATTTTGTAGACTCAAGCTCACCTTTAGAGAATCACCCAGGCTCAGAGGAGTCATGGATATTATTTCTCAATTAGCTTGCATTTTGAATTAGTTTTTATATATAAAAAGTTAAAAAGGGATAATCTATATTGTTGATATAAATCAGTTTTCTTTATGCTTGTGTTAGACTACTGTGAGTGTATGACTATAGATAGATATAGATTGATATCCTTGTAACTGGCATCCTAGTGACTAAGAACTCAACAAGTGTATGTATATATCTATCTATATATATATATATATAGAGAGAGAGAGAGGGAGAGAGAGATTGATATCCTTGTGACAAAGAATTAAGCACCACTAATGTAAGTTTATATATATATATATATATATATGTAAAAGGCAGGATGCGTGTGTGTGTTATGAATGCACGGCCATAATTTTCAATGGATTTGCACCAAAATTTACATGCAAATGCACTCCAAGTTAGCGGGAAGGCCAAGACCAACTTTGCATTTCCTAACTCCCATCAATAGTAGAAATAATCGATTTTTTCATGCTTCTACGGCTGTTTTCACAGAGTTTGTGGCCATTTTGTACTGGCCAGAGTGAGAGCCAATAGCTGGCTGCCACAAATAGGCAGGAAGATTCTATTGGCCAGCGTGAGAGCCAACAGATGACTGACATGAATGTTAACTAGCATGCTAGCATGCAAAAAAATCGATAGCTGCATTCATCACAAGTGGGAAAAATTTAAATCTGCATGGCACTTTACTCCAATTGGCTCATTCGCTTGCTTAAACTCAACGTTGATTCTGATTCTGCAGAACTGGGTTAGGTGTTAAAATGTATTTGTTGTTAACATTCTTTTTTTATTCAGTTTTTCCAGTTATGAGTGCTTTTTTTAAAGCTGATCGTTTTGTGTTCATTTTGTTTAGTTTTTTTTTGTAACAGATTTAATGTTTAGTATAGAGTTTAGAAAAAATTCTCAGTGTGAGATAGGCAAGAAGTAAGGCATGTAGCAACATCAGCACGGCAAAGGGCAATTCCTTTAAAGGCAAGGAAGGGCAAAAAATATTTTAAGTCAAGTGATAACGATTGCTGTATGAGTCGACGATTTTTGAATCAAGCATGGGCAACACGGTAACATGCTGCTAGTATATATATATATATATATATATTTATGTATGTATTTATCGGGAAAAAGAAAGATATATAAATCTTTATTTATGAACTTTACACTAAACTTTATGAATTTAAGTATAATACTAGTTTGGTGGCAAGGTCGCATCATTTTAATAGTAGAAAAACCTAGATGTAACCATAAGTCCTATGCTAGCAGTTTTTTCTCCTGCACTTCTCACCATTCGTGAAACTCTCTTCTGGCTTCTTGCTTCCCAGTCAACTTTTATATTAAAAAATTTAAATACAATGTCAACTGTTACCTTCTGTATTCTTAATTGATGTTCTTTGATTGTTCTTTCTCTTTAACAGTGTTTTTCTCATATTTTCTAACACACAGTAACTCCTTGCATCTTAGTTGCTTAATTGTCTTGCTTGGGGTGAAATGATAAAAAAAACAATAACAGAAAAATGTTAGGGAAATCAATGGCAAAGTAGAAAAACACATATTTAAAAAAAACAATTACATATTAAAAGAATACATATTTAAAACGTTTTAATTTAAAATATAAATGTGCATATATAGTCAATCAACGTAAACGTCATTTTAGTCCAATGAAGTCCAAAAGAGATGAAACATAAAAAAATATATTGTTATTGTCACACAAAAAATAGATTGTTATGAAGTCCTAAGTTCTTTGTGTTACTTACTCAATGCTCGTGTCTTGTTATTTTCCTTCTCCTAATTGAAGTATTATGTATTTATAAGTATTTATTATTTAGGCATTAATATCATTAGTATCATATATATATATATATATATATATATATATATATATATATATATATATATATATAAAATTTTTATCTTTTAAACATTAATATCAATAATGTATGTAAAAAGCAAAATACAACATCCCTACTAAAAGAATAATAAAAAAAAACTAGAATGCTCAAAAATTAAAAACAGTGGCATATCTAGAAAATATAATAACTTGCCACAAATGGCAACTACCCTAAGAAAAGAGGAAAATGGAAAGAAAGAGAAAAGGCTAAAGAGTGAGTGTAAAGTGGAAAAAAACAACAAAGAAAAGGATAAATGATCACAACACCCTACATGTATGCAGATCTATGCAGATGGGAACATGCACGTGAAAGCACAAGCAGGCACATGGCCACATGTGTACAAACACATGCATGAACACAAACAATATGGAGAAAACTTACACCAATAATAAGTGTATAAAAAATGAAAAAATATAAGCAGTAAATGGCTGATAAACTTCTGAAGAGTGAATAAACTGATCCGTCTATGAAACTCTGTAGTCGGGTTGCTGAAGGTAACACTAATCATCTAAGTGACAAAACTTTTACTTATATTAATTCTATCACTACATATATATATATATTGGTATCTCTGTGATAAAGAATTCAGTACCAATCAAGTAAGTGTACATCTATTTATTGATAATCACACAAAATCAAAACAAAATATAAAGAATAATTTTTAAAGAAAATTATTTCCTTGCTAATTATATTTTCTGCTTGATTATTCTTCTTGCTTGCCATTTCTTTGATATCAAATGCTCTGGAGTTTACACATCCCCCACCACACAATGGTTGCTCCATACTTTGGGCCTTGTACTACATCTAATCTACACTTAGTAAATTGTTATAATATTGTTGAGTTACTAATATCTTTCATTTTATTATTGTTGCAAACTAGATTCAATGAGGAAGTTCTACTTTTTATGTGCTGTGTTCCTTCAGGACATAGGTGATCATGGCCCTCCACATCTTCATGTCTCCTATAGCTCTTAATAAGTTTTGTCTTTTTATTTCTCCCAAAACTCTATTCTACCATCAATTTATTCAAGCTCATCTAGTTTCATGCTGATTTCCTCAGCCCATCTTTCCCTCAATCTGTCCTGTGAGTATCAGATTTTCCAAGCTCTCCTTCCTCATAACATGCCCCAGAAATTTCAACTTTCTCTTCCTAATGTTAAGTATAAGTTTCCCTTTTGTTTTGTTTTTCTCCAAAACCTTGTTGCTCACATGTTTTGGCCCATGGTATTGTCAGCGTCTTTCTGTAGGGCCACATTTCTATTGCTTCGTCTCTTCATCATCTTTGAGAAGATTACTCACCTGAAAACCCAAACACTACTTTTTCTTGAAGAGAAACATTATCATTCATTGGGGATGGATAGTGTATATATCATCCTGAATAGATATAAAAAAAAAAACTGGGATAGATATGTTTGAGCTTCAAATACATGGGCTGGGATGATTATAATTTTTTTCAAGAAAAATTCAGCAGGAACTTAGAGAACAAAACAGGACAATACAAAATTTTTACCAATTTGTCATTTATTTGCCTAATATTGTTTTGATATATAAAAATTTATATATCATATTCTCATTTACATAAATACATACATACATACATACATACAGACAGACAGATAGATAGATAGATAGATAGATAGATAGATAGATAGATAGAAAATTAGAATCATTTGATATCAAATAAATGTGATTAAAAAATTTAAATATTTCTTTAATTGATCATTTACTTATGTTTTTTTCACCTAATGCAAGGCAGTAAAGCCACTAAGACACAAAGGGTTACAGGGTGTGGCAGAATTAGGAACAGAAATATTAATAAGGAGCAGGAATAGAAAAGTGTAATCAGGAGGAAAGTAGATAGCGATTGACATTGCATTTAAATTTTTGAAGATTAAAGTTGACTGAAAAGCATGGAACCAGAACACAGTTCTACAATTGAGATACAATTTAGCATAGAACATATCAACTCATATCTAACCAACTCAACTGTAAATTGATTAGATGTCTAGTACTGCTCTTAAATTCTTAAAGTTAGGTACCATAGCAAAGACCTCATCTGAACAATTATCATGAAAGTCTTTACAGAAAGGGTACAGACAGGCAACCTTACAATGGTGTGAAAGTGACTGAATGCGAGCTGCTAGATCAGGGCTGATAATATTGCTATCAAGGAATATAAGGTAAATAGCAGGAGCACCAAACCATATGTGGCAGCAATATTCTAAGCATGGATGAATGGTAGACTTATGGATAAGTATGATAGATTCTCGAGAGAAAAATTGTCTCACATGACACAGTGAACCAACTTTTTTAGCAGCTGACTTAGCATTTTCATTCAACTTTTCATCTATTCAAAGATAACAGTGTATAAAATGTAGTCTGCCTGAGTTCTTTTATATATTCATTTAACTGTTACTATTATTTCTACAATGATAACTAAAAGGTCATGATGCTTATTTCCTATGTTCTACTATTATTATCTATATTATTAAAACTAATGAGTGTTATCTTTGTTCTTTGTAACTAAAACATAAATGAAATTGAAGAGATAATATATGGAATAATAGAAACAGTTTATCTTGGAAATTCAGATAACAACATGCCACACATTTGTCATTTGAACTGTTTTTCAAAGATGAATAGCATGCCTAAGGATAATATTTACAAGCAGAAATAAAACAGACAAAAATAAGTATCATTAATGGAACTCAAAAATGCATATTTTCCTGGCATAGGTATAAATTAACACTTCTTTTTTTCATATTTCTAAACGATGATTATAAATTATAAATTTGTAAAATGAAAATTTCAAAGTTTTCATTTGAAATCAAAAAAAGTACAAATTTTAAGCAAAATAATCACAATACATACTGGAAAAAAAGGTGTCAGTTTAAACTGATACCAGAAGGATATGGGTTTGTGAATTTTATTTAATTGTACAGGAGGATACGTGTTAGAGAATTTTCATTTGTTTTTTGCCTAAAATACTTCCATAAATAGTTTGTTCTAATAATATAATCCAAAATAACCATGCTCAGAAAAATTTTAAAAACTTGCTTGAACTCCCTTTTTTAAGAAAATCAAAAAAGAACTTAGAAGCTTTCTAGTTTGAAATGCATTGCAGCATATCTACAGACGATAATGGATATGTCTCCATTCACATAAATACAGTAGTAAATACTGTATGTTGGTCTGCAGTTGGAGATTCATTATGGAATTCACTTGACTTATTTCTAGCAGTTGACTACTTCTTCTACATGCTGCTCACAAATTTTATATGTGTTGTTCTTGTCCTAAGTATTATTGTTCATTACCAACCTTCGTTTGATTATTCTATCCAGTAACCTTCCTAGGTTACAACAAAATGTCAGAGTGAAATGCAACATTACACAGACATTGAAACAAAGCTGTTAACAATTATTATTTAATTGACCATTTTTTTTAATGAAGATTGACTAAATAAATCTCTGCATTTTCCTTTGTATAAAATGAATGTTTTTGATGAATCAGTGAAGTAAGTTAATTTACATTGTTTTAAAACTTTAGTAGTTACAAAATTCATGCTATTAGATACCTGAAGATCATTTCGACTCTGACATCAAGATTATGAAAATTCTTATGGTGTATCTTATGTCAGTATCTTCTCATAATTGCTCAAAACATGCACACACAGACACACACATATATATATAATTTCTATTATTTGAAGCATTATTTTTAGTGGATACCCATATTTGAGTAAAATATCCCATTTTTTTTTAAACAGTGTTATTTCATATACAAGCCTGTGTATTCAAGAAACCAATAAAGAAAATGTCCCCTTTGGCAGGATTCCAACTTTCATCTCCCTTTGCAGGAGGAACCACCCTCTGATCTGGTGTACTTTAGACCACTCAGCCATGGAGATCCTTACAGCAAAGCAAGGTTCTATTTACCTTAAAGCCCAAATCTATGTTCAGATTTTTTCTCAAAAGTCAAACTCACAGGCCAGTAGATGAAATAAGCACTGTTTAAGAAAAAAATTCTACTCAAATACGGGTCTCCACTAAAAATAACATTTGAAGTAATATATATATATATATATATATATATATATATATATGTGTGTGTGTGTGTTTGTGTGCATGCGTGTGTGTATCTTTGTCTATCATAAGAATCTTTTCTCATTCTCACCACTTGGAAATAAGAATAGCAAACACATCTGGGAGACATTTGAGCTTCCCGTGTCTATCCCCATAACTCAATAACAGCTGCCTAGGAGAAATCTCAGTCTTTATAGGCAATTGTAAGAATAGCTGCAAAGGAAAAAAATGTTCAGATTCTCAGAAATTTCCTTAATGGAAATTCCCGACTTTCAAACATTAATCTTCTTCTCTGATTCACTCAACACTGACATTTTTACCACACAGGCACTTCTTATTTTGCACTAATTGCCCATATTTTGGGAATTTTAACATCTACTTTCTTTCTAATGTTTATTATGTTTTTGCTTTTGTTTTTTCATGTTACTTAAATCAGGGACTTTTGGGGTAAATCAAATAATCTTCAAACATAAGATGATTATTCATCAGCATTTTACAATTACCTACCATCAGGGAAGATGCAAACCTAATGTAAAGAATTTCATCTTTTAAGTAGAATTGCTTATTTTATTAAAAAAAACATATTTTCTCAGAAGGGATTTTTTTCATTTTGAATCCTAACTAATTCTACTTTGTCTGTTGGTAATGATGATCAAATTTCTAAGACCTAAAGTTTAATCTTAAAGGTTTTTTATAATTAGATAAAATTTTGCCCAAAGTATTGTTACTTTTTTACTTAAGAGAGTTTTATAAAAATACTGAACAGACATATAGATATATATGATAGATTCTTGTGAGAAAAATTGTCTCGCATGACACAGTGAACCAACTTTTTTAGCAGCTGACCTAGCAATGAATTCAATCTCATTTTCATTCAACTTTTCATCTACTCAAAGGTAACAGTGTGTAAAATGTAGTCTGCCTGAGTTCTTTTATATATTCAATTAGCATTATTTCTGCAATGATGACTAAAATGTCATGGTAGTTATTCCCTTTCTTCTATTATTATTATCTGTATTATTAAAACTAATGAGTGTTATCTTTGTTTTTTGTACTTTAAAACATGAAGGGAATTGGAGAGATAATATATGGAATAATAGAAATACTTTATCTTGGAATATTTTGATTTTGAATCTAAACTGACTCTACTTTTTCTTTTGATAATGATAATCAAATTTCTGGAAGCTAAAGTTTAACCATAATTAATTCCATCAGAAACTGTCCTAAGTTCATTTCAGATGGTCGAGTAATGGATAGCAGTTCAGATTGAGGAATCGGAGAGCAGAGTTCAAATTCCAGTCAACTTTATTACATACACTTATATTCTAATACCCTTGGAAAAGGTATGAACCCTCTTCACCTCCCCTCAGCTATGGTTAAATAGTAGGACAGACTAGGTTCTATAGCCTTGGCTGGCAACTGGTCTATCACAGAAAGAAATGGCAACCTACTGCGGGAAAAAAATCTACCTTGTCATTCATGTATCTTTCGATACATGATTGCCTAAGTGTGTATCACGTATGACACATAACTGACTGACAAGAAATATGGGCCAAACTTAGACCATATTTCTGAAAAGAACTTGAAACAATTTCTGACAAAATTTCTTCCTTGTCTGAGAAAGATTATTTGTCTCGGTCTCATGTTGACTGCTGACCTGAGATGGAACAAATACATTGAGTCAATTACATTGTCCACCGCAAGGAAAGTTGGCTCTCTGTGCCACGCCAGGAAATTTTTCTCCCCGGAATCGATACTTCAAATATACAAATCAACCATTCGCCCTTGCATGGAGTATTGCTGCCATATATGGTCTGGGGCACCTTCTGTTTACCTCGGAGTTCTTGACAAGATCCAGAGACGCATATGTAATCTAATTGGCCCTGATCTGGCATCTCATCTACAGTCACTCTCTCACAGATGCATTGTCGCCTCTCTCTATCTTTTCTACAAATACTTTCATGGTAATTGCTCCACTGAGCTGCTTTCACTGGTTCCCAGACTCCATGAATTCAAGCGCCCTACGAAGTTGGCATCCTGCTTCCACCCTTACACTGTAGAAACTTTTAAATGTAGCCGTCTCTTCTACTCCAATAGCTTCATACCTCGCACCTCTCACCTGTGGAACACCCTTCCCAGTTACTGTTTCCCTGACAGCTATAATCTCTAACTGTTCAAATGTAATGTCAATCAACGTCTCCAGTTACCTTGATCTATCCACTATCCCTCTCCTCATCGTTTATTCTATCACTCCTATCTGCTCTCACTCCAAATCTTCTGCAACCCCCTGCATCCTAGTGGCTTCACACCTTGCTTGGGGTGTAATGCTTAAAAAAAAATTTAAGTAAAAAATTAATGTTAGTTAAAACATTCTGCATAGTTTTCACTTCTTTTATATATCATGTCCTTTCAGGATGTGGGAGATCATAACTCAACATGGCTTTTTATTTGTTCTTTATACTATCACATATATATGTATTCTGTGTATTTAGGCAAATGTTCTTTGAGGCAAATATTATTAAAAACAAAAAAATTGATTAATTTTACTGATCAACTTTTCCAAACAACAAATAATCTCTCGCAGACAA